CTACACTCTGTGATGATCTTTTTTTCCCTCTAAAACAAATTTCGACGTGTGACGGACATTGTCATTCTACGTAGTAGTGAGAGCAAGACAGTAACGCCACTTTTATTAATTTGTGACTGTATTGCTGGTACCGCATGTCTCTGTAAATACTTAGTGGTACGTCTTCCAATAAATTTGGTAAATGATTTTATAAAAAGTCTAAATAAATTTCGCCATTCAAGACCTCTGGTAGCTTAAGGTGTACCATGATTCTCCCATTCAGAATCCGGCACGGGTATCACGTATCTTGAAAAGTGACATTATGCCGATTTTTTTGACATTATGCTTGTTTTTTTAGACATTATGTAGGTTGTTCTAAAAGCACTTAGGCCCGTATCGTCAGTCGTCCCTACAATTGTAGGGCGCCTTTATGGCCTCCTTGATTGCCATAGTTTTCTACTTCTCCAAGTCAGCGCTCTGAGGTTATGTCACAAACATCAATTTGCATCAAGTTGTGCTTGGTTTTGAGTTATATCATGTTTTATTAGCCTGAAATTTCCTACAATTTAAAAGGAAAACAAATCTTCACAATAGGAGAGCGCTGACGCTGACACGGGACAAGTGTAATCTAGAAATTTTTGAAGGAGAGAAAGGAGTATGACAATCAAGGAGGCCATAAACGCGCCCTACAATTGTAGGGTCGACTGACGATACGGGCCTTAGTTGAACGTGTTGCCTAAACGTCATGAGGCTTGTTATCAATGTTTGGCTCTGATGTGATGTAAAATCTGCCTCCGAGATGGCATTACTGGAGGTCTAAGCTGTAAGTTGGATGAGTTGATGATAATTACGTTGAGTTCTTGTCTCAAATACACTTAATTGAGATTCAAAGCTAGAAATTAGTTGCGCATCTACTTTTTGTCATCCATTCTGGAAATTACATATACATATTTGCTGAATTTCAAAAATGAGAGGAATAAGAAATAATAAAGAATAATAATCACTGTACACTGTCGAATTACAACTCATATACATGCTAACAGTAATTACACACAACGCGGACGCGATAACGATTTCCCGTAATTCTCCTCGGTTTTTCGTTATAACTTTGAACATAACCTCTCTTCAGAAAGCACAACATATAAATAACCCGTCATATTCAGTAATGGTTTTCTCACACAGCAAATAGCACTGATTTTATACCCATGTAGACCTATACACATAATCATCCAGATGCGATCTTGCTATTCAACCAACTTTCTTCTCAGAGATAAAAACCACAGACAAGGACCATTTAGCCTCACAAAACATATGCAGCCAATAATGCGTGTAGTTTAGTTGAGTGATTCCTCCTTAGATGGACGTTCACAACGATCCTAGTAAGCAAACGTGGAATGACTGTTTGCGCCCTAAAAACTACCTGGTTTGCAAGATGACATCTTATAGGTTTTTTTTGACGTTTTATAGGTTTTTTATATGATACCCATGCGGGTTATTAGACGGGAGAATCTTGCATTATTAAAAAATTCAGCTACTCCCGTTATTGTTCCGTAGCTCAGCTAAGATTTCGATTTCCATTTCAAATTATAAAAAATCGGATAAATCGGAAAAAACACAACCTGTGATGATCTTTCACTTCCCATTACAAATTTCAAATTTTTCTTAGATGGATTGACGGACATTCTAAGTAGTGTCAGTAACGCGGCTTTTATTAATTCGTGAATGTATTGGTTGGTACCGCATGTCTCTGTAAATGCTTAGTTGCACGACTCGCAATAAATTTGGTAAATCATTTTGTAACAATTCTGAATAAATTTCATAATTGTAGAACTCTGGTAGCTCCAGTGTACAATGATTCTCCCATTCAGAATCCCGGTCCACATATTGACTTTAAAACGATACTGTGATCTATCATGTCTCATCAAATGTGGATTTTCTAGAATGATCGCATCGATGAGATTTTAAAAACAGGATATTGAAGCTGATAAACTGGCTATCTGATCCATATCCAACAAAAAAGTCAAGCCTTTGAACTAAAAGGAAGGAAAAAATTCTGCAAACAATTTTTCTTGCGATATCTGTTAGAATTGCATGAGAATCGGTGCTCCTATAATTTTTCGACTAAAAAAGCTGTAAGCAACAATCTTAAAGCTTCAAACTGCTTTTTTCAAAGTCAAAATGCAGTCTGTAAAAAATCACATTTTTTTGAGTAGTGTATAATTTTTTTTCGTTTTGGTTTCAGATAATGCAAATGACATTCCTAGGACTGGCAGTGTCCCACGAGGTGTCTGAAGTATTGAACCTCAGCCTCAGTGTTCGCAAAAAGTTAGGAAGAGCTAGAGCTGTCATTTTTGACACATTCACACTGCCTTGTACAATGTTGACTGTATCGGTACGTATTTTATGGCAACAGTGATTATCGCACAGTTGTTTTTGATTTGAAAATGGCACAGATTGTCCTTTATGGCGTTTGGTGTTGTACATACTGCATTCCTACTAGAACTTGGAACCACATATCCCATCCTTATTAGAATACACTTTATTATTATTTATTTTCAAAGTTGAGTCATTTATTTTAACAGCTTGTAGAACTCGTCAAAAGTTCATATACCAAAAATCGCCTATATAAAGGTTGCATTATAAGATAGTTTACATTATTAAAAATTATTTAAAAAAATCATACCGTTTTTACTAATGAAAGTATACGCACTATTAAAGAACTGATACAACTGATCAAACCAAAGACTCGTACTGAAAACCAAACAATAACACAAAAAGTTTGCCAAATTTAGATAAACGTTAAGAGTTGTAAACAAAAAATATCAAGATTTCTACTCGGCAGTGCTCGAGAATTTCAAAAAATCTGTGTTGTAAGATTCTTATTTTTTTAATTCTTAATCTTTTACTATTTTTTTATTATGCAACTTTTATACATGTATGTGTATGTGATTGTTGGTAAATCAACTCCTTTTGAAGAGTCCTTCAAGCAGTTAAAATAAATGTCTCAACTTCGAAAACCCTGTATAATAATATATGTAATAAGGACACCAAACGCTATAAAGCACGTTTTTGTAACTTGTAATAATGGTTTCAGGTATTTTGGGTCATCTGGCACATAGACAAAGAGTTAATCTTCCCATCAGAATTGAGCAGAGTGTTCCCAGATTGGTTAAACCACATGTTGCATACTTTTATTGTGGTGCCGGTGGTCGTAGAGATCCTGGCACCGAAAAAATACAGTTTTGTCGACTACAAAGTGGCGGCAAGGACATTGTTCCTATTCGCTGTGGTATATCAAATATTGTAAGTAAAATGAATTAAAATCATTTATCATCAACGGTAAAAACATGCGAGGTCTGTAAAGTGATGAAACTGGCAACGTAGCGGTCGATCTGGCAACACTGGAGGCGCCGGGCTGGGGAAACTCTGGAACATGTGATCTGCCTTCAGTACACGTTTGAACTCGCTCATTTGGCTGTCCGAACCGATTTTTTATGAAACAGTTTTTCCTATTGTGTTCTAAAAATGAAAATTTCGAGCAACCGTGTGCTTCAGAAGGAAGTTAATTTGAGGGTGACAGTAAAAAATTTTAATTATTTTTTAATAAAACAGTCTCATTACTCAATTTACGGATATTGTAGAAACAGCATTGCCAGATCAACAATTACGAGTTAATTAACCATAACTTGAAAAGCCAATTCACGGACAACTACTATTTAACTTAAAAGTTATAGTCACCAAACTTGAAAGTTGACCAGCGATTAAAAAACTGGGCCTAAGCCTATCACCTGAGATGTGATCTCAGCTCTAAATAACTGCAAAGAATATATGTATGTATCTTTGAAAATGAATGTCTCATTTCAGATATGTCTTCATCTATATTCAACATGGCGTGTGGCTCTACCCAATCCACGGTAGAGTAGGTTGGCCACTAAGAATTATATTTTTCATTGGCAAAATATCCATATTGATGAGCTTCCAATTTATGGGAATCAGCCTCCAGCACAGGAAGAAGAAAATGCTTAAGAGTAAAAAAGTAAAATGACACCATTTGTTATATTATTTTGAATATGAATCATTATCTGTGACTGTTTATGTAAATAAGCTTTGTTATAAAAGTTTTGACGTTTATAAAATGTAGAAATTTATTTTTTCTACTGCGTAGTATAACGAATAAAACGCAGTGGCGTAACTAGATCCTGACGGTTGTTATCCCGCGAAAACTGTGCTCAGTTGGTAGATATGAGACCCCCCCCACATTCTATATTTTTTCTCTACCAGAGATATTTTAACAAAAATCGACTATATTCATTAGCTCCATCACGTCAAAACGCCTTCCCTTAGGCCCGTATCGTCAGTCGTCCCTACAATTGTAGGGCGCCTTTATGGCCTCCTTGATTGTCATAGTTTTCTACTTCTCCGTGTCAGAACTCTATTTTGAGGTTATGTCACAAACATCTATTTGCATCAAATTTTGCTTGCTTTTGAGTTATATCATGTTTTATCAGCCTGAAATTTCCTACAATTTAAAAAGAAAACATATCTTCACAATAGGAGAGCGCTGACGCTGACACGGGACAAGTGTAATCTAGAAATTTTTGAAGGAGAGAAAGAAGTATGACAATCAAGGAGGCCAAAAAACGCGCCCTACAATTGTAGGGACGACTGACGATACGGGCCTAAGATCCTAAAAAGTTGCGCAGCCTTAATTGAGGTAACAAAATGAGCATTTCTTGAATTCCTGTCGTTCTCGTCACCAGCAAACTAACATTAAATGACGTGCACTTGGCAGGTTTCTCGTTTCAAATTTGTATCGTATACATTTAGAACCGGTAGGTACGACCGTGTCTTCCATACTAGGGTATCGAGAATGCAGAACAACCAAACCAATTTCAAAGTGTTCTGAATTCGTTTCAGCAAATTCCGACGTCAAATAAATATCTTCACGGTTGCCTATACGTAAAGATTGTCATAGAAGAGTTGCCACAAAATGCAATGATTTCTCAGGTTAGTAAAAAAAATTCGGTTACCTAATGTTTCTTCTGCACAATGATAGTTTTATTAAAAATTGACAAAGGAAGATAAATAGAAAATATGAAAAAAAATCAAAAACAAACTTTGCTTTAAAACTTCCTCCTCTTAAGTATATCCGGTTTCCAGTTGATGGGATGTGTCTCCTCAGTCGCCGTGTCGTCTTCCTTGTATATTTTTATCGTCTTATCAGCCTCGGTCGTTATCAATCTAGATCCGGAATTATCGAATGTCATTGAGAATATGCCAGCTTCACTGTCCATTGATCCAGGTTGAACTGGAGCTTGTAACCTGAAAAAAAAAAATCCATTCAAAATATTTATTTTTTGAGAACACATCCTTAATAGGTTCTTAGAAGCTCAACTTCTAAAGGTATTCTCAAACAAGGACGTCCAGCCCTCTAAAAGACCAGCGAGCACGATGCTATCTGTATACCGAATACGTCACCCTCGTCCATCGTACCAAAAACGCCAAAAACCCTCACAAAAAAAAAACGCGAAAACCCACCCACAACCGTTGTAACACAATCATGCGAAACACATTTACCTTTGGAAGTTATAGCCAGTCCTCCAATCCCAGAAGAACATAGTACCATTATCTCCTGCAGATACCAGAACACTTTCAGGGTTCACAGCAAGACAATTGACAATACAATTGTGGCCAGACAAATTCTGGATAAACTTTCCATCTGGACATTTCCATTGTTTTATATTATCAGGTGAGCATGAAGCAAACATATTTCTGTAACAAAAGATATAATAAATAAAATAAAACTAAAAACTGAGAGTTCAGCTACACTCACAAGGTCGGGTGGAAAACAACATCTCTCACGCTCTTTTTGTGATTGGTTAGGGTGCATATTGATTTTCCAGCTGCAAGGTCCCATAATCTAATTGTAGAATCATGACTTCCTGAAAAAAAAAATTGATTTTTAAAAAATTTATAAATTGTGTAATTAAACTGGCGATTCTCACATAGGTGATTCCATACCTGTAATGACTTGTGGTTCACTAGCTTGAGCAATGACAGTTGTCACTGTATGCGTATGTCCAGTTAAAGTGTGAACATTCGCCTTAGTGCGCATGTCCCATACCCTGGCGGTGGAGTCGCGACCAGCTGTCAACAATACATCAATTGTTGGATGGAGAGCTAGTGAATATACTGCTGATAGATGTCCATGGTAGTGCCTTATCACCTAAGATTGATACATTATTGTGAAAAAAGTATTTTCAATAAAACATAACTAAAATAGAGAAACCAAAGTACAGCTGACAAGGATCAAAAAAAGCTTCAAAATACCCTATTTCCACTCCATAAAAACTCCCTTAAGACCAAGGTTCTAAGTGCTGTATATTATTTTTAAATGTTACTTCATTATGTTAAATGTGACAGCAAATAATAGCTGATAATACTCAAAATACCCCTTTTGGGATGAGACACAGAATTCTGTCAGATCTGTTAACACCAGATTTGTAAACAAAGTCATATTTTCTGGTGATTTTTTGTAAGCAATTAATTGGTACTTACTAACAATGCTTTTTATTTAAAAAAGTTTTTATGCACAAAGAAAAAATGATGCAAGCAATATGGCAGCTAATCATCATGATCATGACTATATTTCAAGTAAGGCAAGTGCAAACATTTGTAATTAGTGTTTGAAATAAGCAGTTCTGAATATGGTCCTGAGCTTCATCAAATTCATTACTGTCAAAAGTACAGGCTTCAATACAAAGATGTCACTTGCTAATCAGCTGTTCACCTCAATAAATGTCAAAATGTGATGAAATATCATGAAAATGCTATAACTGAATAATATAATAATACAAACTATGCTATCACTCTAAAATGACCTAAAACTTTACTTACCTTATTGTATTCAAGATCCCAACACTTCACTTGCCTATCTTCTCCACAACTGAACAAATATGGATGTCTGGCACTTACTGCAAGTCCTCTAACTGTACTGACATGTCCTGTGAGTGACACTTTCAGTTGCCCACTTGCTAGATCCCATATTTTGATTATCCTATCTGCAGCTCCAGTAGCAAACCACTGAAAACAATGATGAAGATGGTCAGATTTGGAGCAGAGAGAATATTATTTACTCTATTCAAATTACATTTACACCCATCAAAATAAACAACAGTGCAGAAATGTTGAGCTTCCATTGGCTAAAGGTAGAGGATCTTAAATGACATAAACAGGTTAAAATATAAGTGGCACTTGAAAACTTGAATTGTTGGGTTCATTCTGAAGTGGTGTGAATGAGTTTGATGAGAATTCTGAATGTTGCTAGACAAGCAGATGTTAGTTATGGCTGTATTGTCAGTCATTCCTACAATTTTAGGATGCCTATAGGGCCTCCTTGATTTTCATAGTTTTCTACTGACCCATGCGAGTGCTCTATTTTGAGGTTATGTTACAAATTTGCAACAAACTGTTCACGCTATTGATATATATCATCTGAGATCAGTCTGAAATTTCCTACAAGTAAAAAAGAACACGTAGCCTCACAATAGGAGATCAGTGACTCTGACACAGAACAGAAGAAACATAGAAATACCCCAGCCTTTCTAAAGGAGAGAAAATACTATGAGAATCAAGGCCATAAAGGCATCCTACAGTTATAGGAGCGGCTTATGATACAGCCCTTATTGTCACAAAACTGTGTACAGATGAACCTCTAGCAGGTTTTCATTCTGAGTGAATCACATTTCTAGAAAAGATATATTTACCTCATTTCCAGGTTCGACAGCTGCGCACCGTACCCAACCCAAATGCCCAGCTATAACTCTATACAGCTTCCAAGGTGGGTGCCACTTAGGTTTTGGCATGGTTGGAGCTTTCTTTATCATATGTGCTAACTGATTCGGTGTATTCGGATTATTTCTGGCTACTAATGCATTATCATTATATGGAACCATTGCCCCATCAGCTGTGTTGAGTTCATTTTCTGCTGTACCAGGAGGTGGAGGATTTGGACCAGCTTCTGATTCACGGAGGTGTTTCATAGCTTGCATTTTCTTTACGTCATCGAATACTAAGCCATAGGAGTCTCGGGCTTTTACAGCTCTTCGAATTTTTTCACTGAAACAATACAATGATGAAAATTACGGTTGGTAGTCATATTTTGTTTGGATAAATACAGAAAACTGATTGTACTTACGCCGTTTCGTCTACAGTCGGTAAGTTCCCTTGGTTGGAAATAAACATATCGTGAGATCGTTTCAGAGATCTGAATACCAGTGTATGCACAGAGTGCCGTTGTACGTCTTCTACCATTTTTTATTTTCATATAACTACTGCTTCTGAATTTGTTGAAAATAAACTGCAGTTTGTTGCAAAAGCTGCGTACGACGTCTTCAGAGTTGTTTGGTTTCGTGTTTCGTATAGGGTAAGGGTATACACAAAATTCGTATAAACATAACCTAACTTTTTATCGGTGCATGTTATGTCATTCTTGTCACTATCGATAAATCGTGATCTACCAGTGGCGTGCTATGTTTCTGTCTTCAAGGTTTTTTTTATTTAAACGTGTAAGTTATCCCATAGCTGATTAGTTTTAAGGCTTTGCGCAGATTACACGATCAAGTTTAGTATCAAAAGAGAATTGTCAGTTTGAAATTCAAATTTCAAGAAAAAACAGCTTTCAGGGGCACAACGCGGGAGATTATCGATTTAGAAAAGTTACGTCTGAAATGGCACCAGAAATAAGACATTTGGAACAAATATGTTTTACAACGTGGTACAGAAACATTTCGTTGAAACATATCTGTTGTTGTACCCGAAACATATCTGAGTAGAGGACATTAAGGGTTCTATAAATGTATCCACAATCTTACCGAAACCCAACCAGAAATGTTTATAGGTTCTCCTATTTATAAGAGATATTAACTAAGAATCAGGGTTTACTCTAAGATGTTATTTCTGTTACAAATTAATTAGTGTTGCAGGTGATAGAGATACGCATGTAGGCAAGTCAGAATACCAGGCCAAATTATCTACTAGACAGAAGAGAACTAGTGGTCATGCTCCTCAATGTTTTATATTTATACATGGCAGGCGTTCATTCCTTGTAATTTTAATATGTCAATAATTCATCTTCTGACGAGTTACTCGTGAGCGTCAATACGTTTTTCATAGAAATTAGTGTAATTGAATGGTGTAATGTAATTATATTATTATAGTAAAATGTATTTGCCTCTAACGTTCGTATTAAACGGAAATAGAAACATAATGTAGGCGCAAAATAGTCATAAAATGTATCAAGACATCAAATGCTGGCCCCGACTATTCGGCTCTTTCTTTGCCTTCGTGCCAGTTTTTGATAAAACACGAATATCGATTAAAAAGGGTTTTAGAATATATTGCCTCTTCGTTACGGTAGTGCTCAGTGCGTTATTGGTTTACGAATTTTATAAGGAAGTAACGTCATCAACGACATACTATAGACTTCGAATCATTACCTCAACTTTACAACTGATTTCAACATCCAGAGTGATCATAGGTACAGCTTGGACAGATTTTATGAAAATTATCAGGGAAACTGACGAAGAACTGAAGAAGTTTGATTTTAATCAAGTCTCGTATAGACGTAACATTTTCCGAGTAAACGGGTTATTCCTTATATTTTGTATCCTCGATATCATATATTTCATCTTTGACCCTGACAATATTGAAGCTCGTGTGGTGAACAAGATACAAGATCTCTTCAAAGGGACTCTCAGTGCTTATATTGTCTGTATTTTGATCACCGTGAAGGCACATTTTCAAACCATCAATTATCTGACGTTTCATCCTACAGCTTTAGCACTTAGCACTAGGAAGAGGTTACAAGTCATACGAAAGCTTTACATAATGATGAATAAGGAAATCAAATTGTTCAATAGTGTATTTGGTTTTCAATTACTTTGTATGAGTTTATATGGATTTGTATGTGTGGTGTTACTGACGCAAGTGAAGGGTCCAAAAGAACTTTTACAGTACTACATTTTTATTAATTCCGTGAGTATATTTAGGTTATCTGCTCACGAGTTGGGTAATTTTGATATTTTCATTCACAGTTTAGACAGCTGTGAGAACTAACGAGTGTTTTTATACTGAAACTCATACTATGTACTCGACTAAAACCTTCTGTCAATAATCTGGTGCTTTGAATCTGCGTGCCATCAGAGCTGCTTTCCAGTGTGCTCAGCATCAATATCGTGCAACTGCACTTTTTATTCTCATACACATTTTCTAGAGCAGTTTGGGAGCAAATAACTGTCATTCAAACACCACTGAGGATCAAATTGGTCTGACGCCGTGTACTAGAGAGAAACGCGATAAGCAAGCGATATGTATGTTAGAGAGAGACAGAAGCACCTCGATGCCTAGCAACCCGAGTGTGAGATCACGGAAGCCATCTCTTGTACATATTACGACGTCAGTGGTATTTGGTTTTCAGTGTATATAGGAGATTTGAAGCACATGTAACATATTTCCTTGTAGCGATTTTCGATAGATTAGGATAATACATAAAAAAGACCGAGTCCACCCACTTGACATGGTTTTAAAATTTATGATAACATGGAAAATTATAGATTTCAATCTAATAATACTCATAATGAAACATTCAAGCTTAGTGTGACACTAAAAACTTTGGATTATTGACATGTATGACATATTATTAGTATTGCTAATGGATTAGGTACTTGATCTAATATGCTCAGGTATATTAAAGCTACAAAAATAATGAAGCATTTTCTAGTCATTTAATAATGTATGAAAGGGTAAGGTGGTGGCCTCGTATGTTAGGCATTTGTTTGGCTGCCGTCCCTTATTTCGAAACTTCCAAGATAACTATAAAAAAATGGCACAAAACCTACTGTGTGATATTCTCAATTATAACGTTGATAGCCATACCGTATCTCATGTATATCACACTGACGGAGAATCTGTCATTCAAGTTTCGAGCAATGGCAGCTTGCATTCATTTAATGTCAACTGTGCAAATAGTTGTAGGTAGGTTTCTTTTTTCCTGGTAGTTAGTTAAAAAATCATAAACCTTTACTGATTCTGTGTAATCCTCATGACTCCAATTAAAAAAATATATAGTTTATTTTAATTTTCACGTTGTATTTGAATCGGTCATTTCAAAAACCCCCCATATTGCTTATGCTTCAAATAATACCGCAAGTATAATACATGCTCATTGCAGAAACAACATAGGTCAAGTGACTTTTACCAGGATCCTTGGTTTGTTTTCTTTTGAAAACTACAAAAATATGGATACAGCCAGAGGCGGATCCTGGGGGTCCAGAACCCCCCTAATTATCAGAGTTAAGCAAATTGGAACGTCTTGTTTAATTTTAAATCGCCTATACCCCCACTCTTCTATGCGGAATCGCCGATTCGCCCCACATATTTATTGTCTCATGAAAAAGACAAATTGTGCGATTTTTGACATGCTCCATTCACTCGGTGCGATTTTTGAAATGATCGATTCACTTGCATTGTAGAATTGACGTGTAACAAAATGTATGTTATATTTTCGCACCCTGATTTTATAGGAGAAAGATCTTGGATGAAATTCATGAAGATATTTCTAGAAACAAATCGAGAATTGGAAATGTTCGATATCTGTCAATATTCATACCGACATCAGATAAACAGGGTGAACAAGATCCTTTTTGTGTTACTCGTAACCGACGTTGCATGTATTTTTTATCATGGCGAGGATTTGGAGTCATCCATTACCAATAAGCTGCAAGACTTCTACAAAATAACCATGATCGCGTACATCATCTGTGTCATCGTCACCATAAGAATGCAACAAGAGTCGATAAACTGCTTAACATTTCACCCTACTGCTCTTTCGCTAGACTTCAGGACTCGATGTCAGAACATGAGAAGATTCTATATGAATCTAAATAGGCAGATCAAATATTTCAATGAAGTATTCGGATTGCATTTGCTCCTAATGACGTTAAACGGATTTCTCGTTCTAGTGCTGTTAACGGTAATCTACAGTGCCAAGATAGAACTGCGACTATTTTATATAATAATTAACTCTGTAAGTAGAAGGTTTCCGTCAAGTAGGTTGACTCGGTCCTTAGCACGATTTAGAAAATAGACGTTCGCCAACCAACAGCACACTAAATTTTTTAGGTTGGACCATTGGCAATTATGTACTTCTGCGGCAGCACGTATAATGACTCAAGAAGAATATTAAGTATATGCCATAAGCTGCAGCAAAATATTGTGCTGTTAGAAGAGGAACAGAAGGAAATCAGGAAATTGCTAAAGCAAGTATCAACAATAGCACCAGAAATCACTGCTTCTGGATTTTTCAAAATGAGAAAATCCACGATCTTGTCGTTCTTCAACATATCCATGACGTATATTATTGTATTGTCTCAATTTTGTAACTCAAATATAAAATGCAATATTTAATACGCTTTTTTGTTTTTCTACGTGTATTTCCGCCGTTAAAGGCAGTAGCAGAACACCAAAAGATAACGTCAAGTAGGTTGACTCTACACTTTCGACGCAAAGGATTATGTTTAGCGCACGTTAGACCGTAATGAAAAAAGACAGCACGATAGACCTTAATATTCTGGCTAGACGATAGTTTCTATGCTTTCGTTGATTGTCCCAGAGACCAAACCTAGACTATGCTGATGAGCCAAAAAACGGAACAGTTATGAAGATGTATAACAGAGAAATTAAACGGATGTAGTCCGTCAAACAAATCCGTACACTAAATCCATAACATCATTTCCCTGCCTTATGCATGATGCGTCACACACGGCAGAGCGCCCATAGAACACCAGTCATGTAGGACACATACGAACACCAGCACGCTGGTCGAAATCAGAAGACGCAGCAGTGCTTATCGAAAATAGTTTTCTATCATTTTAAGGGCAAATATGCGGGGCGATCTATGATGTGTGAAATAGGTCCAACAGGTGCGCAAGATTATTTTATACCCCTAAAAAAAACTTTATCCAGATCCTCTGAAACGTCAAAACACCAAGTTTGAGCAATTTTTATTTTTTTCGTTATTGGCCCTTTTCTCCGCCTCCACTGGACCGATCTTCAAAAACTACAAAGCATTTTCGTCGTGGGCTAGTAGTGATGTTGTGTGAAAAATTCATCAAAATCCGACCGCTACTTTCCAAGTTATAGACGAACAACGAAGTATCTCATTTTGGAAATTATCGCATCCCTGTTTGCCTCTAAAACGCCTATTTTAATTGGGTATCTTCAGGAATTGATTAACATATTCCACCTAAAACCTCCCAATCAAAATACGCATTGGACAGACATCAAAAAGGGAATAAAAAATCGAAGACCCTAACGCCATCTATACGACGGTAGCAGAACCAACCACTGCAGCTCTTTTCTATATCGAAATTCTGTGTTCTGCCGCTGTGCCATAGATGGCGCTAGGATCTTTCAGATTACTTTTTGGGTGCCGGAATACAGTGATTGGTTGGATATCGTCAGGTAGAATATGTTAATGATATTACTGTATCGTTTTATTTCTCAAAGCCAGAGTAAGAAGTCACTTGAAAGAAATCTTTATTCGTCAAATACTGTAAAAGTAACACTGAAACAAGGAAGAAACATTGACACTGAAGTATATCGCTCTCATTTGTGGAACGTAACGAAAAATATCACTTAAAAGAAACATTTCTTAGGAGACACTGGAGCTGCTATAAGCACTGCTGCTATCGTCATGGTCGTTGCTGCCTACGTTTAGTTTTTTTGTTGTCAGTTCGTGCAGCTCTTCATCTGAAAAAAGATAATGTACACGCTTTAGGTGTGGAATACAACTACTGGCTTGAGTCCTCAAGCCTTGAGGACAACATGTAATATGATTGTGCAAAATACAATTGGAATAATAAGTTAAATACTGTCTGAAGAGATCACAGGACAGGTACAGGGTTTCCGACAGTTTGAAAAGTCAACCCGCTAAACGGCAACCCAAACCTAGCGAAAATCAAATTTTAGCTAGAAACCATCAAATTGATTTTATATATATATATATATATATATATATATATATATATATATATATATTTGAAAAGTGATTAAAATAAATGTATTATTATATTTTGTTTTCGTAGTTTTATTAGACAATTGAATAAAGGGTTTATCTGCAGGAACTTTAGTAATTTAAATCGTAGAAGATTGAAACTACTTTTGGAGGATAATGAAAATATTGAACAAAGCTTATCTTTAAGATACTACAAACAAAAAATGTTCAATTGAGATTACAATCAAACACAAAGTGAACAGATACAAACAGATTTAACAAAAGGACGGATCGGTTAACGAACTCTAAAATCATCGCACCATATCAATTATACCTTATTTTTGAGATCATCCTCAAGGATCGTTCAACTGATCTAGATCTAGAGTCAAACGAACTATTAAATACTTGTCAGTTTGGTTTCAGGAAAGGTATGTCAACGACAACCTCAATAAACAGTTTCACCAAAATTGTTTTAAGTTTTGAGAACAAATTATATGTGATGGCTGATTTTTTCGATCTAACTGAAGCCTTTGACTGCTGTCATGACACTACTCTTCTTTCAACAGAACCTTAGAAAACATAGACAATGAATCATCAGCATACAGGAGAAACATCAAACCCACATCCCTCAACCTACAACTACCACAGAAACTCACCCGAATCGTAGTAATCCGACTGCGGCTCCCTAGGCGATAGCTTGCACCCTTTGTGAAGGTACGACTTGAGCTTATCCCTGGCGGCGAGTATCAACCCCATGAACGGCGGCGAGGGGCTCATCGGCCTGGACAGGTACTCCGGATGGAACTGCACCGCGACGTAGTACGGGTGGTTGTCTAGCTCCAGGATCTCCATCCGCTGCTGATCCACGTCCACGCCGACAAACTTCATGCCGTATTTTTCGAATTCCTCGATATATTCGGGGTTGACTTCGTATCGGTGCCGGTGTCGTTCGTCGATCTTTTCCTTGCTGCCGTATAAGCGATCTGAAAAATATTAATATCATTTTTTTTAATACAACAATAAGAAAATAGACGTTTTTATTAACATAATTTCTTCAGGAATTCCGTTATATCTTATGGCAACATTATACGTAAAACTACGTTTCGTCAATCGTTCCTACAATTGTAGGACGCTTGTATGGCCTCCTTGATTTCCATAATATAATATCTCTTTCAGTAAGATACTTGTGTGTAGACTCGGCCTGGAAAACGCTGTAATGGGTCTCGACTCGTAGATAGGGGTATAAATACCCGACCAGATGGTGGAAGCAGTCAGTCGCAGTCAAGACAGTGAACGGCGCATAATTAATATGGACAAAAGCCCCATGCGAAATGAAGAAAGTTTGCATACGATTTCATAACCATCATTATTCTCCAAAACAATACAACACAGGGCGTCAAGCGTCTTTGTAAATTTAGTCACAAAAGCGCACTTCATTTGCTTGCAGCGGTAAAAACTTCACAAACATAGCATTAGTAGTTAAGTACAAAAAAGCTACTCACTTATTTTACTAGGCACAACGGACGGTTTGAATATAGTACTCCTCTTCCCTAACCGCATCGTCCCTCCCATTTCACCGGTATTGTGCTCCGGCATGTCTATCACAACAGGATATTTCGTATCCTCATTGACCTCAGTGGAATTGGCGCCCTCCATTTTGAGTACGTTCCTAGCGAATTCTATCACAGCTGTTTGGAATCCCAGGCAAATGCCCAGGAAGGGCTTAGCGTTCACTCTGCACCACTTGCACGCCTCTATCTTGCCTTCTACGCCCCGCTTGCCGAAACCTCCAGGTACAACGACGCAACTAAAAAAAAAACAATATAAGTCCGTGTCAAAAAAGTACATTTGACTAGAGATGGCAGATATGATATGAATATTTGGCAAATTTAGAGATATTTAGTTCCATTTCTATGAATATCGATAAAGATTTTGAATCATTTTTGATGAATTGACGCACTTTTTCGACGCGGTTTCTGGCATAATCACAAATTTTGGCTGGCCAACATGTTCGTCGTCTTCCAGAGACACTCTTTGAACCGCGTAAAACAATCTTGGCTACGAGATAAACAATCATCACCATACACTTGCATCAACATCTGATGCGTTTCGGTAAATGTTTTACCAAGTTTAGCACAGAACTTAATAGTGACTGCTCATTTTTCGCCCAAGGCTAAAAAGGTACCGTTACTTTGAGGGCGATAACTCTACGTGAAGTGGTTCGATTGTCATGAAATTTTAACAGGGCATCAATGAAAGATGTACCATAGCCGACGTCAACTACTACTACTAGTTGACGTCGGCTGTGGATGTACCTATCCCACGCTAGTCTCCGATAATAGATGGTGCTACTTGTAGTCCTGTTAACTTTGCGACATACCTCGTAAACTAAATAATGAGCTACTTGTGATTTAAAGCTGTTTAAAAGAAAAAAGAGCATTTCATGGTCAGTGAAAATGCTTACTTAGATGCAAGTTTTGTTTTTCTGAATTTTTCTGAATATTTGTATGTTATGTAATTGTTATTCTTAGGGTAGAAATCGAACCGCCTGGGATCACTATCAATTCTTGCTTGTGGGAATTTACTTTCCACCAGATGTCACGTACAAAATTCCTATATAATCTATCTCAACAATCAAAACGAATGACTTACTCGCAAACGCACAAGTTATGCCACGCGCTATGATACGCCACCGGATCATCCAACAGCATGGTCGCCTCCAAATTCGACGCCTCTATAAACTTGATGTTCACCCTGCACCCAATTTCATTCCCAGCATGATTCAACGCCTTTTTTATCGACGTGTACGAATCCTCCAATCTTGTATACTTCCCTACAATGCCCACCGTCACTTCGTACTTCAGATGTTTCATGCGCTCTCCGAGTTCGATCCACGACTTCATGTATTTGCGCATAGGTGGCAGCGGAATGATGTTGAGCTGCAGTCTATTGCTCAGGTACTCTGCCATGCCGTGGTTCTCCATGAACACCGGTACTTCATAGACGGAGTGCAGGTCGGGTATGCTGATGATCTGGAATGATTTGAGAGTGACAAACACAAGTATGACGATCTGAAGTTCGTTCCAGAATCAAAACTTCGAATTTGTTGAGGGAATAACTGCGATGTTGTTGTTATTCTGGTCGGTGGCCATTGGACATTCAAGAGCAGACCCTCCTCATTTTTATGTGACCTTCCAGAAGAAAAAGTTGTATTCAGGGTGGCTCAATGAAAAGGTTTCATCCCCATTTGGGACCCTCCTGGTATCTTTTGGAAAAAATGCTAGAACATGTGAATTTAGATTTCTAGGGAGACGTAGTTTCATCTATAGTCGTACAATACAGGGTGATCCAGAAATAAGATATTGCATTGCACTTTATATTTTTAAATGGCTTTCTCAACTGTGACCTTGGCTAGCCTTGAAACAGCCCTCAGATGACATTGCATGGCCACAAAAATGGGATTCAGGACTCAAAATAGTTATGCATATCTTGTGTATTTTGTCAGGAAAAAAAAAGTTTTTTCACACTTCAACTGACCTTCAATTATCAGTTAATATATCAAAAATGCAGGGCTCTCAAGCTTCATGCCCAAAGAGACTGCCTCTCAATACATACAATGTCATTAAATTTTATATTTGTTTGTATAAAATGCCATATGTAGGCATGAAAATCTGAAAACAATTTTGACAAAAAAACCTAGAATTCTATTAAATGGGTTCATGGAATGGCACAATTTTATGTAATTCACATTATTACCTGCTGTGGAGCAACATGGCAGAAATTTGAAATTTTCTCCTTAACACTATCACCTACAGGGCTTTCTGATCTGCAAACTATTATATCTGGAGACAGGCCTAAACCTCTGAGTTCTCTCACTGACTGCTGTGTTGGTTTTGTTTTGTGCTCACCCGTGGTTTTTGGCTGCAGAAAAATACATTATTTAGTATGTAAAAGGATCCAGTATCATTTTTCTAAATGACAATTTTTTTACATACCTGAGGAACAAGTGATACATGTGCTACACAGAAGTTCTCCCTTTTTACCCTGAACTGAAACTGTCTAAAGGCTTCAACAAAAGCCATACTTTCGATATCACCCACAATACCACCTAGTTCAATAATGCATACTTCAGGCTTTTTACCAGATACTGATACTGGTTTTTGAGCTACTCTTTCAACCCATTCTTGTATTGCATCTGTTATATGAGGTACAACTGAAAAAAAAAGAAGTGGAATTTGACATTTTTATATTTCTACTGAAAGATTTTGGTGATAGTTTACCTTGTACTGTTTTACCTAGGTAATCACCATGTCTTTCTCTATCAATAACTGTTTGATAGATCTTTCCTGTGGTGATGTTATTTTGTTTATGTAGGGTGATATTTAGGAACCTTTCATAATTTCCTAGATCTAGATCTACTTCACCACCATCATCCAAGACATATACTTCACCTATAAAATGAGAATAATACAAGATAAAAATATCTACATTTCATTTACAATTACAAACAGTTACTTGAAAAATCTGATACATAAAAAAATAGTAGAAAGACTTTTATGAAGATATGTACAATTTTTAAGAATGTGATTTACATTATGCAGTTAAAGATAGAGAAGTCCCTTAAAGTAAGAAGCTACCCCCATAATTTTGTCCTTGATTGATATGAGGTCACAACAATCTTATGTAAACATGGCTTAGAATACAACTTTTGGATAACCCCTCTTCTTCAAAATTCCTATGAGCTCACGACAAGTCAGTCTGCTGCTTAAATTACATTTGACTCTCAATAAGGATGTATAACTTCAATTATGCATTTCAGTCAAGTTTCATCAGAAATATCACTTTCTGAATGTTCCTAGGTAGGATACATAAGACTTTCAATGAATATCTGCTAACAATATTACTTGTGGCTTTACATTCCATAGAATAGCAGAAACTCTTTGTATGACCCTTCTGCAACTGAAAGGTTGTATCTACAAAATGTGACTCAACTTTTTTCATGTGTTCAACGATTTAGTAGAGTCCATTGTAATGTGGTTTGCCATACAAGTGAATAAGTCATTAAAATGTTTCGAAAGTTCATCAATTCATACAGTAATGATAAAAAAATGTTACTCCCACGTGATATCTTTTTAAAAGCTTCTTTAATTTGTTAAAAGGTTTTTTAAATGCTTTATGCTTTAAAACCCTTACAGTAACGTGCCTTTAGCATAACAGACATTTTTGCAAGTATGAATATTATATCCAGGAAAAACAGAGAACAAAAGTGTCATCCTACTAAATATATGATTAAATATTGAATCACTTACCATGTTCGTATGGTGAAAATGTCCCTGCGTCCAAATTAATGTAGGGGTCAATTTTTATCGATGTTACCTCGATTCCGCAGCATTTCAAGATTGCTCCAAAAGAACTTGAGATAACTCCCTTGCCAACTCCGCTAATCACTCCACCAGTTATCAGGATGTACTTCATAATGAACTTAGGGAAGTATGCTCTAGAACTTACGCTTTTTTTATGGAATTTCTATTTATGGAGTGGAAAATAATCAGCAAATATAGACCATGTGGCGGTAAAACGTGAATAAAGTAAAACGTAAGAAGAATTGGATTTTCTGTTTGGTATGCCAACGACCTCTGTTGGCAGAGAAGGTAGTACTTAGAGTTGAATGACATGTGATCAGCTCCTATTGCTCTAAAATAGATGGCGCGATCCGTCCAGCGCATTGCCGCAGATAATCAAACCCGACTAAGTCCGAGTGGAACAAAAGTGGCCATGCAAAATATTTGTTGGCATATATTCGACTATCCCGAATAAGACTATCCACAGTGAAATTTTACAACACTTAAAAAATGGAAATAAAAATTGCAAAAAAGATATGAATCCGAAATGAGACTCTTGGTACCCCGGGCTAGACATTATAGCTCACGTGTCAATTCTTGTCACCTGGATTGCGGTGTTGTCAACTCATCCGATATTTTTGCTACCTTTGCGATTTCACTAAAACCTCATAAAAATGCTTGGAATAAAATAGGGACTAATAATATTAATGGAGATATACCTATAAGATTTGAGGCGTAATGATGTTTTCCAAATAGTTAATAGTTGGGTAAATTAAATAAATATTCACATTGTACGTGTTTCTACAGACAAAACAAGGTTGGTGGTGTTTTTGTTTTAAGCAAATCTGCATTTTGTATAAATTAATAAAAGTTTTATCGTTTATTTATTTTTTTTATTCATTCATATTGATATTTAAATTACCGTAAAAAGTATTGTGCATCATAATAAAAATAAGAGGTGAACAAAAATCTTTTGATTGGTGATTTTTCTACATCCCATATTTGTAATCCATTTTTCTGATTCACAAAATCCAAAGTGACATTGACCTCGAGGACCGTTACAACCTTGACACAGATGTTGATCCCAACACGTGCATGCCTGACATAATGTAGCGATTTATAGGTTAGGTTAGAGTTAAAATTAAAAAAGTTGACATTTATCAATAAATAAAAGCGATGGTAAGCCGCTGAAAATCACAATAATGCCTCCTACTAAGGGAGAAAATCTGAAAAAGAAAACTTGGAGTGAGGTGAACAAAGCTAGAAAAGAGGAGAGAAAGAAATGGAAAGAGCAAAATTTGTTAAGAAAAATAGAGAAAGAAAAAAAGAAGATAGCGGAAAAGTCTGAAAAGAAAGAAACGAAAATCAGTGTAGATAATTCCTTTGCTGACGACGTTCCTATTTTTATATCCACTCTCTCAATTGCTGTCCCAGGATCTATATTAGAAAATGCACAATCTCTAGAATTGCGAACATATTTAGCGGGTCAGATTGCAAGAGCGGCATGCATTTTCCAAGCTGATGAGATTGTTATATTTGACGACTATGGCGATGAAGCTAGTGCAAAGAAATCTAGGTAACATAAAAAATGTACTTTAATGCAGTTTTGTGCTTTATCCTTGAAATTATAAAATGTTAACTGTTTTTAGTGTGCACCATTTAATTTTTTTAATTGACATAAAATACATGTATTGGTTCTATTTCATAAACAAAAACTTGTAGTAATTTATTAATAATGACTAATGTAATAACTTTGAAATAATCTTTATGATTTCATAATTGTTGCTCTAGTTTTCTAACATTGGCAATTAATGCTTTCAGTTTGGAAAATGAAGATGGTGTTACTGTAGCTCGCCATTCTTGTGTCCGATTTGGAAGAATCTTACAGTATCTGGAGTGCCCTCAGTATCTACGCAAACACTTTTTTCCAATACATAATGATTTGAAGTTTTGTGGAATATTAAGTCCCCTTAATGCACCTCACCATTTGGGACCTAATGAGAAATTCACTTTCAGGTATATATTAATTTTGAAATAAGATAATAGTATAAAAACTTGTAGGAAAATATTTTCCTTATGCATTATCTCATTTTTTTTCAGAGAAGGTGTTGTTTCTAAAAAGCCAGCCAAGAATGGTGCATATGTATATGTGGGGCTAAACAAAGATGTACTAGTAGACAAAAGTTTAGTACCTGGTTTAAGATGCACAGTTAAAATATTTCTAGAACAAGAAACCAAGACTAAACACAAAGGTGTTATAGTACCACCTAGTACACCCAGAAAGGAGACTGGAGTATATTGGGGCTATTCAGTTCGCATTGCAACTTCTTTGTCCAAGGTCTTCTCACAGTGTCCATATAAAGAAGGGTATGAGAATTACATTACAAACCCCAACTGTTTTTTTTTTTTTGTATATACTAACATTAGGTTATGCTTGTTTTGTGGTATGTAAAAATAGGGTTATGGGCACAGTTTCATTTTTGCAATACCTTTTCTAGCTATGACCTCACCATAGGAACCTCTGATAAAGGTACACCAGTTGATGACTTCTCAAGCCCAAAGTACAGACATGCTCTGGTCATGTTTGGAGGCTTACAGGGGCTTGAAGCAGCATTAGAGAATGACCAAATATTGGATACAGATGATCCCAGAAATTTGTATGACTTCTACCTAAACATGTGTCCAAATCAAGGGTCAAAGACCATTCGAACTGAAGAGGCAGTTTTGATCAGTTTGGCTGCTTTAAGGCTAAAGTTGAACCCTGTCAGTAGACCAATAGACTTTGCTGGAATACCCGAGGAAACTGATAAGGCAGAAGTTATGATGAAAGACAGTAGCTGTGAGGATGATGATATAGAAGACATGAGTAGGTTTGACTAAATGCATGACTTCTGTCACTTGTCATGCTAACATCTCTTTCTGTGAGTGTTGTCAGAGACGTCCGTATGTTGGCGATAACTTACTTCAGCATTAATGATAGTACTATTAAGGATTCAGCAATGAATAAAGAAACATTTGTTTAAACATGTAAGTCTTTATTTCTCTATACCCTCATAGAATATAAATTGACAAATATAACATGCTAGCAGATTGGTATCCTTCTTAAGAGTATATTGTAAATAATTTAAAAAAATATTTCACCCGTCAAACAATAACAATAAAATCTACGTCATAAAACTCCCAAAGTCAAAAAATCTCGATGGATGATATATCAAGGAAAATCCTTTAAAACTCAGAACATTAAAGCTCAACATTAACAACCGTTTTGCTTATGAACAAACTTTCAGGAATGATTTCTGTATACTGATGGTCACACTAGAAACCAGCATAACATAATTTTCATTTTTGATATGAATAGCAATTTAATAAACTGCAAAACCAAAAAATTTACCTCTACACTACAAATTTATTTATTGGAATAATTTTTTGAATGAATAATCATATTGATAGGAAAACCAGTGTCTATGCTACTGTTCAACTAGGATGAATTGATAGATAAAACCCTATGTTACGATGGTTTCTAGATGCTACCAGCAGTCACAATGTTTATTAAAATTACAATAAAAAATAACATGAATCACATTGTGTGTTAGAGCAGAATCAAACATTGCATTTATGGATTGAACTCTCAACTGTTTCTCGTAGACTTGCTATTACAGACCTTTGGTCTTTTGAATTTATTATTGCTGTTCCTGATACTATCATATTAGCACCCGCCTGAAAAAAAAAAGATTGTCATAATGTGAATTATAATTTAGCATTAAATGACATTCTGGCAGAAGATACCCAATCCAACTGAAAGCCCTGCCTGCGGCCCTGCGCGAAAATAAGCACATCATAGCCCGGTATAGACTATAGAGTGCTTTTCTAAAAAGCCCCCTTAATCATTTTTTAACGGGTCAAGTCAAAAACCTGAAATTCAGGGTAATGAGATGCATGAATTCTATTTTGGCTTAAAAGTGCAGTTGGAAATTTCAATATATCTTGAATGGAATAAGGGGTGGTGTGATCTCACTTTTTGCTATACCCTATTTCACGAGTATCCATCATGCTTTGACGTCTACTGAGGTAAACAGATGATCAACAAGTGACATTTTTACCGCAACCTTGGCAATAATGAATCGGGTATAAATCTAGTGAAACTTATTTGTGCCGTTTTGTTTTTTGTATGCAAATGAACTTTTCTAATTAAAAGAGCTGTTAGCAAGTACAAAATGTAGCTTACAAAAAAACAAAACAAAATACAGCTCTGTCCTGTGTCAATATGGGGAATTTTACTAGCGTGATGGTATTTACAAAATGGCAATCTGTTTTGTTTTCATACATTGTCACTTATAACTCAGCAAATCCCTATATGAATCTGTTCTCTTGGAATATACAATAAAATATGGAATATGCCATTTGAAAGAATCTCAAATCTTGACTATATTTTTTGAATCAAACATATTTTAATGCATATTCAGATAGACCCTTCCCAAAGAAGAAGATTAATATAAAAAGTATCTCATGATGCCCTATTTTGAAAAATGTTACAAGATGGCACCCAGAGACTATTTTTGCGTTCAGTACAGCATCTTCTTAGAGAATATGTTAATCAGTGATTTTAGATATTATCAGCTAGTATACCACAATGTTAAGGTATGTTTCGTCAATCAGATGTTGTTTCTTCAAAATAGATGAGAAAAAACTCACCTCTGCACAGGCGTTGATTGTATTAAGTCCTACACCTCCATCTACCTCTATATCTAAAAATGGATAATTCTGCCTCAGCCACTGGACTTTGGGCATCATATCTTGCATGAATTTCTGTCCTCCAAAGCCAGGCTCAACTGTCATGATGAGAATCATGTCAGCATGATCAATGTACTGACGGACAGCTTCAATGCCCGTCCCAGGCTTCAGAGCAAGCCCTACCTTCATACCTGCCTCTTTCACTTTTCTGCATACTTTTAGAACATCAGATAAAACTGGTTCTATATGAAATGTGTACAGGTCCACATTGGCTTCTCCCATAGGCTCAATCCACTGAAACAAATTCAAAAAAGCCTTGATCCTGATGGCCGGTATAATAGTATAGAATTTATAGGCCTTGTATGTTATTGGAACATTGTGAAACTGATTTTGGAACATGTTGACTCGAAGGTGACTCCCTATACTCAAAGGAGACCATCATTGACTCCAAGGTGACCCTCTGACTCAAAAGTGACCTCCTTCTCTGACTAAAGGTGACCTCTCCCCTTACTTAGTGGCTAAATATGACCTTGCTTATCACTTATTAGATATAGGTCAAACCTGGCCCCAATGGAGTACTTCAACAAATAACAAGTAGTTCACAGTGACCAAAAGTCAACAACTCAAGCTACATGTAATCCTAATCAAGTACTACTATAGATGGGCAGTACCTAACCAGTGTTGTCATTTATACTTTCTAAGATGATTGAGATGTGTAATAAGGATGGCATAGGGTTGAGCTATTCAGCAATGATCTTTTGCATTTACGAAATGCAGTTAAACATAGGGCAAATTTTGTGGATGCATGTAAGACATAGGTATGAAATCAAAGTAGCTACCTGTTCTGGATTAGAAACCATCATATGTGTTTCAAAGAAAGCATTTGGTAGTTTAGTCCTTAGGCATTTCACTATTGGATGACCGAATGTGAGATTAGGAACAAAGTGACCATCCATAACATCTAAATGTAAGTAATCAGCACCATTATCAAGGAGTCTTTGGGATTCCTGATAAAGTTGGGATAAATCTGCGTTTAATATAGAGGGGCCTATTCTGCATTTTATGGCTTGTCCTGCGGCACAGTTATTCATATTATTATTGTTAAATAATCTTGAAACCATACAGATAAACCATAAAAACTGGAATTTGAACTTTAACAGCTAACCTAAATCTACTATTTTGACAGCTGATGACGGAAGGCATCATGGCCACAAGATTAGTACTAGTACTCTGTGTCAAATTTTGTCAGCGTTGCCAAATAGTGTCTCTTCTGATGTTATGAACGGAGGATGGAAATGCCCAGTCTTAAACTCAAATTTTACGTTAACCACATATGTCAAAAAGAAAAGTACAAAAGCAAAAAAAATGTTTACAGTCAAAAACATCATTCCGCACTAGCACTAGACTTCAACCTTCTCGTTACGTAACGAGCAAATGGATTGAAATCTAGTGGAAGGCTAATTTATATCAGCTTTTAGCGGTGTTAACGTCACAAAGCACTATGACAGAGTACTAGAATATATTATCCAGTTAGTTAAAAACCTGTCTCATATTTCACAAGCGAACTATGGCTTGCTTCATTGTAGTATTTTATTTAAATATAAATACTGCAAGCGTTGCAAGTGATGATACGGTTACGCCTACTTAAATAAAATGAAAAAGTAGAAAAAACACGTTTGTTTATAACTAAAAAGACAAATGTAACGTGATACATCGTTGAAGTCGTAGAAAAAGATGCTGTTAGATACAGGGTAGTACTTTTTCAAAAACACCATCATGTAGTGCCTTAATAGTGCCATTAGTTTTCTGACATTTCTTAAAATTAAGTGAGGCAGAAATAAAAACGATTTGGCTAATTTTTTTTCCCAAATACCTCAGTATACATATAACTAACTTCTCAGTGCATGCAATGTGCGCAATTTATTAAAAAAAATTAGGACGTCAACCCTTATGCACAAGTAGATGAGTATGCAAGGCTCACCTAGTTTCCTGCACAGATATCCTGTTTCCCTCAGAAGAGTTGGAAGTAGACCTAATTTCCACTTTGGAGTTACTTGGCTCCCACGTCACAACACCAAGGCTCCACTGAGAGACAATTGAGAACCCTATAGTGAACACCACTACTGAAAAATAGTAGCTAAACCGAATAGAGCCCTGTACGGAGCTGTAAACGCATAGACATTACGCTGCGCCGACAGTTGCCGGGAGACTGAAGCGTTCGAGTTTCGAGTGCTGCACCTCACTGCGGCGATACGGTACGACCGGGTAGTACAGCCACGCCCCTTTCCAGCTCCCACTCCGCGCGTCTGCTCCACATCAACGTAAACATCGCGTCGCTTCGTGATACTGTTCAGTGTTGAGAACATTAACGTTCCGCCTCATAGACGCCAAGCCACGCAAAATGTAAATAACAGCTAATTTTTTGTCCAACACTGCTAGGCCTCAAATTTTATATATCTCTATTGATATCCTCCAATATTTCATTCAAAGCTTATTTTTTTTTATAACACTCTAGCACAGGTAGCAAAATTGTCCGATGAGCTGGCAACGCCGCAATCTAGGTGACAAGAATGATAAGGTCAACTGCCAAAATGTATGTCTATCCCGGGGTATACAACGTCAAAGGGGCGGTTATCCAATTTTCATCTGCATTTTTTAAGCGGTGTGCAACGATTTCGAGAAAAATTTCCATACGGATAGTCTTCTAGAGTCTAGTACAGTATATTTCAATATAATATAATGTCTTGCGTGGCGATGTTATCTTTACTTGGGCCTAATACGTTTATAAATCTGCCAATTCGTTTCGTAACTAAAAAAGGAATTTGTCTGCTATGTCGGGGCGACATCTATTACAGAGCAGTAAAATGATACTTAACCACACAGGTTTCTGTACGCCTGAGTTGCTCGCGACATCTATCTATGAGGGCTTGAATCATAATAGTCTTACAGGTTTCTAGAAGCCCAAGCTTGGTTATTGGTATGGCTGTGAACAATGACAGTTAATTTAAGTGAGGTTATAATAATGGTCTGGGAAGCCTCATAAGAGACGTAATTCAATAAATAATAATGGATAATAATAGTCAAATGGAGCAAAAATGTTGTACTGAAGACAGCATGTCACAGAAGCTAAAAATCCTAGCTATACATGGTTACCGACAAAATGCTGAAACGTTTAGGGCGAAGACAGGGTCTTTTCGTAAAATGGTACATAAATGGGCACAGTTCACTTACATTACGGCCCCTCACAAAGTTATACTAGTAGACGACTCAAATGATTTAAACAAATCTGAGGAACCAGATATTGGGCAAAGTCAAGATGAAGGTGAGAGCTTGAGAATAGTTTCAACATCGTGTGGTTCAAAAACAATGTTTCAGAGCAATATGGGTGGTTTTTTAACAGAGACGATAAAACATTCAGAGGAATTCGAAAAGGGGGACCAGCAATAGGTTTTGAAGAAAGCGTAAAATTGATAGAACAGACTTTTGCTGAGGAAGGACCTTTTGATGGAGTACTTGGATTTTCTCAAGGGGCCTGTTTTGTAGGACTTCTGTGTGACTTGCAACAGAGAGGGTGTATGTTAGTCTGACTGGAAAGACTTTAATAACATGTCTTTCATAAGAACCTTTTTTTTTTCAGTGACAAAATTCAACTTTAGCTTTGCAGTACTAGCATCTGGCTTCAAATCTGGAAGCTTACCACATTTGAAATACTACAGCGATAGGATAAATCTCTCATCCTTGCACATATTTGGTGAAAATGATCAAATCATTCCAACAGGTAAATTACCAGTCAGACACACTATAATGTAATTGCTGTAAATGGTATAATTAGATCAATTAAAGTATGGGTCAAAAATAACCTGGGATTGAAATGTCAAATTTGAGGTCACAAAAGTGGCTAGGAATACTTTGTCTAAACTCTCTTTAGAATAACCAATATTTTACCATAATACCTTAGATAATCAGAGTATAGATGCATACAGGTTGTCCTGAAAGTTGGGGCTTTTATTTACATTTCTTCTTTACATGCTTCAGTTGTTACTTTTATTTGTCAAAGTTACAAAAATGGTCTAGACTTTGAAAAAATTGACATGACCATCATAGGCTTATACTCTATCTTAGGAGAATCATGTGAAAATAAGTTTTCATATAGCAGGTTTGCTTTTTAGAAATGAGCGAGGCATTGAGCAACAGTTTTGAGGAACCAGTTATAGTAAGACATCCAGGGGGCCATTATCTGCCAGCATCAGCAGCTCAGAAACATCAGTATCAAAAGTTCTTCAAACTGCAGTTATTGCAAAAGCAGTACAAGGAACAGCAGATAGAAAAAAGTGTTTAATTGTTCATAACTTAATTATTTATCCAATAAAATTGGTGACAAAATTGTTGATCAGTCTCCTATTATTTACATTATACAGAAGTATATAGACAATTTCTGTTTTATAATACACAAAAAGTTGAAGATTTTGGTACATCTCATTTAACAGTGTGATGAACATGTCTTTCAACAAAAAACTGTGGGTTCCTCCTTTCACCACGTCGCCTTCTAACCCTGGCACGACCATCGTGCATGCCTAAACAAAATCGAGACTCGTCACTAAAGACAATACTGTTCCATTCCTGATCCCAGAGTGACCGTTGTCTGCACCACTCAAGGCGATTACGTCGGTGTTCTCGAGTTAAAGGGAGGACCCAGTGTGGCCGGTATGAAAACAAGCCAAAACTTCTCATTCGTTGGAGTTTTGGTTGGGTTGCTATAGCTTATGGTTCCAGGTCACCTTTAATCTTCATCAGAGGTAACATGAACGCGCAGCGTTATATCCGCGAACTTCTAGAATCCCATCTTTTACCCTATCTTGACACCCTGGCAGATCCAACTTTCCAACAAGATAATGCTCGACCACATGTTGCAAGAGTCACAATAGACTTCTTTCAACATAATGATGTCAAATTGTTACCATGGCCATCAAGATATCCCGACTTATCCCCAATTGAGCTCGTGTGGGATATGATGGGTAGGAGATTGCTCAATTTGTAACGTCCTCCTGAGACTCTAGAAGCACTTCGAGAGGAGTTGGTGGTTGCCTGGAATGAGATACCACAGGAGGACATTGACCACCTGATCAGAAGCATGCCTAGGCGCGTTGGAGAATGCGTAGCACATCAGGGTGCATCCACACATTATTAAAGGTCAAAGGGCTTTAAAGCAGTGCAGTCATTTTGAAATTTTTATCATCTACTTATTATGCTTCATTAAGTACTTATACAAAATTTTATTAAAATAAAACCATTTAAACTGGGTGTTCGGATTTATATGTGACTTAGTATATTTCAGTAAACAAGTATGATCATAGGAAACTGTAAGATATGAGATTGTCAAAATTGAGAACACATTGATGATCAGTAAATAATTTACACTGTGCACAAGTTTTTAAAGTACTTCCGCACATCACATTTCGATTAACAATAAAACAGCGACATGGCAACTACGAATAATCAAATAATCAGAACCTAAAATCATTAAATGCGTAGTTTTCAGTTTACTTTATTATATCCCCTGGCTTTTCAAATTCCAAGGTACCAGTCCTCGCTTGGAGATGGTAGCACAGTTAAGGATACACTCGGGGTATACCGATGTTTATGATCCTTTTCGATGTCGATACATCGTCATAAAACCATCGATGTATCGTTGCCATCCTTACCAATGAGTCAAATGAATTGTGAACAGTCTACGATACTAGCTCGCAAAAGCAAAATTGTAAACAATTCGCGCTGAGAGTGTGTATTTGTGGTACCAAATCGCCCGTTTTTATTATCGCGATCCGTTAATTGCTTCTAGAGTACAGGTACCAACATTTACATCTACTGGAGGCATCAGAAAATCGCTTTCCCTACTCTCACTTTAGGATCTTATGATGACCATATTAGACATCAGTCTCCCAGCCTCATACATTATAGAGGGAAAATAAAAAGTCGCTGGATTCAAATAAATATATATTTTCGAACATACACAACATAAACTTAAAATTATCATCTTCATTTAGTACCAAGCTCAAAACTTTGTTCTAGCCTTACATCTTTCTTTCTGGAGACTTGGACCAGGAGCGTCTTTGAGGCTCTCCTTCCTTAGGCAGTGACCAAGATTTCGACCTCTCCCTCCTCTCAGACTTCTGTAGGGACAGTTGTTTAGGTGTCATGAACTTGGAACTATCCACAGATCCAGACCGCTCATTTTCCGGAGTTTTGCACTTATCATTTTCCTTAGATTTACTTCCTGATCTAGATCTAGATCTATGTCTGGATCTGGACTCGGATGTATCTCTGTGTTTTCGTCTGGAAGACCTTTTGCTAGACCTGGATCTCGACCTGTCACGACTGTGCGATCTGAAAAAAAAACAAACCAATAAATATGCAGTTAATGATAACAACAATACACTTGTGGATTTCAACACACTGATGATTACTGCCAAGAGTGCAAAATTAACAAAAGGATCACTTAAAATAGTGTGAAAAATGTTTGAAGACACTTAAAAGTTCTGAGGCCTAGTTTTGCTTGAAAGTTATGTCTTACCTTCTAGTTCTTGCTCTAGATCGACTCTTAGACCTAGATGATCTATGGCTGCGACTCCTAGACCTTCTTCTACTTCTCGATCTACTTCTTGATCTGGAATATGATTTGCTGTATCTTCGACGAGAACGCGATCTTGATCTATCCTTAGTCCTACCTCTTGATCTGTCTCTTGACCTAAATACAAAAATATCAAACATTTAGTAAAGAATAATCAACAAGTTATACTGGCCATTTAATAAAACCGCGGACTTAGAAGGAGGAAAATTGCTGACGTTTCGGCCACCCGGGTGGCGTTTTGTCAAAGTACTTCATTAGTAATTCACTTCTAGTCTGTGTTTTTTTAAGCCCCTGGTATTAAATGACTATGCACATATTGTATAGCAACGTGTTGGTATAGTGGACAGACCATAAAAATGCATAACAATATATACCTCATTCTATCTTTGGATCTGTCCCAAGAACGTTCTCTAGAATACGAACGACCTCTTCTATTGTCGAGATCATCAAAGAACTGGTATTCTTCAGTCATTTCTTGTGGATACTGTCTGCCTCTGCCGCCACCTCTGTATCCTCCGCGGTTTCTCATTGGTCTACGCCTACCACCACCAAAGTTCATGCCTGAAAAGAATAAGCAGTGCTTTAACCCAATCTGGATAAGGAACTTTCAAAAACGCAAACAAATCTATGTAAAATTGAATACCTCATTAAAACAGTGAAATAGATGTTTCAAATAGCCAAGTCCGCCAATTTTTTTCAAGAAAATGGTATGAACCACTGTCTTGGAGTAAAAATTGTAGAAACTTGCTAGATCTGATTTGTGAGACGAATCTGGTAATGATTGTCAGCAGCTAAATTGATTATTTTATTCTGATCGTACACCAAAACTGTCCTAATTATTTTATGCAAAACAAATCACACACGTACGACTTTATTGCCCATATAGTAATTTTTTAATGTCTTTAAATGACCAGTTGTTTTTGTTGTCACATTTTGACGCGTCGAGGTATTGTAGTAAAAGTCTTGCATACATTTTACAGAGATAAATGATATAGTACCTCTTGAAGGTCCAGCTAACATAGGAAGCCTTGGGAATGGTGCTCTGCCTCTAGGCATAAATCCTCTCAACCCATAAGGATCCATAAGCTCTGGATATGCTCCAGGAAATGGATATTGGAATCCTAACCAGTTTGAATTATACAGCAATTCAGGATACTTCTCTACAACAGGACTTTTTGGTCTGCCTCCTATAACAGTGACAAAGTAAAATTGGATGAGATCACAATGAGAAGCTTAATTTTTCTATATACTACAGCAGTTTGGTTATTTTGAAGGGTATTTCCTGAACACTAAAAAATAAATTAAACTTACTTGATGGAAGTACTTCATCCAGAGACAAATCAGAGTCTGAACTAGATGATGAGTTTCTTCTTGGTCTTCCTTTATCAGAGAGAATTGTCTTCAACATGACTCTTCCTTTCAAAGCATGGTGCAACTTTTCTCTTTGAGTGAGTACTTCTAGTTCACTGGTGTTTTTGAACTTTTTCAGTTCGTCATAGCCAGGATTTGGTAATCCATCATATAACCGCATGTTCCCTGGATTTTTGTCCTAATGAAATAATGAAAATTTATTGAAATTATCTTAATGTTATATCAGTATATAAGTACTTGCATGCTGCATACTTTGGCCTTATGATATAAAGATTTATCACTAGTCATGCTAAAATTTATATTGTTGGGAATTATTTAGAAATTACCTTAATTCTTCTAAATAGTTCTTCAACCAGCCTTATAGCTTCCAATTTCCTCTGCACTTTCAACAGTTTCTTCTCTTCATTGGCAATTTTTTCATTAATTTCATCAGCACCTGTGATTTCAAGCTTTTGAAGTATCTTGGCTTTTCTCTTCTCTTCACGTAATTTTCTCCTCATCTCTTTCTCAGTCTTCACATCTACCTCTCTTTGCCTGTAAATAATCACTAATACCTCACGACATAGCATTAATAAATTGTTATTCTTCAAAAAAAAATATGTATATAGATATTTATATATTACATGAAATTAGATCACATATTGGAATATGAAATGAATAGAATAGGTTTGTAAATTATGAGAAATTGAATGACATAACACCTCCTTCTTTTTAAAGAATTCTGGGCTCTATACAGGGTGTTACAAAATGTAATCATGAAAATTTCTGGGCAGATTCTGTACTAAATATTAAAAGAAGTTCTTATACACAGGTATTCCCCATTTCAATTTTATGGAGCATTTAAACTTTTAGCAAAAAATTGTGCACTACTGTATTTTTCAAAAGTAAGAAGTTTTCTCAAAGGCTCATTGATTCTGCTTGAAATATTTTACTTGGGGTTTTTCCTTATTATTAAGAGTTAATCTAGCTTTGAGAAAAAGAAAGTGCTTTAGACAAAAATATTGTAGATGGTAATGTTACCTTTATTACTACATGTACATGCCCCAAAACTCATTCTCACTATCCCAAGTTATTTTCAAGGAATGTAAAATTATCTATCAGACTGACAAGTTTCAAGACCCCATAAAATTAAGTATAATATTTCATGACCTATAATTTAATCACATTTTGTTTTTTATACCTTGAATCTACTCACACAAAATTCTGTACCATCCTGCATATTACTCAAAAAAACACAAAACACTTTTTTTATTTATACTTTCTATAATTTTCCAATATGATCCAAAATAGACGGAAGTACAAATAGGCTAGACTGAGTAATAACAATATGAAATACCCCTTTGCGAACATGAGAACAAAACAATAGGAAGTTCTTATGCACAATTAGACAAAGATTATTTAGAAAAGTGAGTAAAAGCACTAGATATTGAAATTTTTCAAGATGGATCGATTTCAAGATGTTCTGAATATCTAATGAATGGTAATAGCGGTATTTTCTCTAGGTCAACCTATCCGTAAATACATTCAAGATATATCTCAACAATGGGTACATATATCAAAACAAATTGATAAAAGTTCCCAATGTTAATATCAAAGAACCTTTCAATTTCTTCTCTCTTCTTCTTTTCTTCCAGCTCAGCTTGTTCTTTCTCTTCCTTTTCTCTAGCTTTCTTCACCAGTCTTTCTCTAACAATCTCCCTCCTGCGAATACTGGCATCACTCAAATGCTTCGACCGATCAAAGTCTACCTTTATATTCACTTCAGTCGCTGAATCTTCTTCTTTATACACTAGCTTCTTATCACGAAAAGCATCCATGGCTTTTGTAAAACCAATATAGTCCTTGAACTGCACATAACCCTCAAAGAACTCCTTATTGTCGAATGAAGAGTTTTTCAAACCGGATATGTGATCCTTCATTTTCTTCCTATATGGATCACTGATAGGGATGTCTACGTATCGTATAGAACCGAATTTTTGAAAAACCCTGTAGAATATTTTTTCTGATGGGGTGATATCATCATCACTTGATAAATGTCTGGGGACAAACCATTTGGTAGGAACACTGGATATGTACAATGTGTCAGGTCTTTGTCCAGGTTTCATCTCGTCCATATCCTTGGTGTTTTGGAAGAAATCATCCCAGGCTCTACGATTAGGAAAGTCGGATTTCCACTCACAAGCTCGAAGACGCATGGGTTCACTGAAGTCCTTTAACTTTATCATCCTGTTGTCCAACTTTTTAAGCACTGTCTCAATCTTGGATCTTGTCTCAAGCTCCGCTTCAAACCGCACAAACTCTAGGGTGGTTTTCGTAACTTTGAATACTGTAAATTCCTCAGGACGTACGAGTTCCCTGATTTTATCCATGATCTCCCAATGGGAGATGCTTTTTCCGAGCTTTTTGACGTTGGGCAGCTGCAGAGACATGTTCAGCCTTGCAATAGGCTTCAGGAACAGTTGATGTGGAAGATACAAGGGCACCAAGTCCGATGTATTGGGGCATGGCTGAAAAGCATTCATAATCAGAGTTTTTCGATCACTTTTTTTTTAAAGATGAAAAACTCTAATCATAAACAGCTTTTCCCGTTAGAATTAGTTATACATGAATTATTTTGATTTTTATCCCAAATATCACTTGAAATCCAGATATCTTCGATATTCATTTTTTTTAACAATCCATTGTCCGCTTGACACCACTTGACGTTTTCAATCTTTTGACAGCATATATTTAACATTAGTATTGTCAAATCTCCTAGATTCCTGATTTCTCGATATGGAACGAGATTTCATCGTTATAGTCCAATCCATGTAGTGTGTTAAACAGGTATAACCGATGAACGCCGAATGCGAGTATTACCGTCAAAACATCAGTGTCATGAGGCCCAACTTCCGCTAGAAAATGAGTTTGGGTCCACTGGTAGGCGTCAAACTGCCTTCGTAATCTTTAAAAGTATAATAATGATAATAAGACGTCTTAACTGGGCGAAGCTTAGCATGAGTTATTTTCCGCTGACCCCGTAAAATGTCAATACACAAAATAAACAATAAAAACAAGCGCATCTGATACTCTCTCCAGGACGCATGAAGTGGGTAACAGGGGACCGCTGTTTTCATTCTCTTCCTGTAAATACTCTAATAAACTTAGCACGAGCTGTCGGCCCTCTCTATTGATCGTATTTCCGGGCATGGTACAATTTTATATTGAAGATTGATAACAGGACAACTAAAATTGCACGCCGATGTCAAGTAACGACAAAGTTTTCGAAACGGACACACTCAACTACAAAACGTATGTCTTTGAGCTTACCGAACAAACGTTCACACATAGGGGTAGGTTTCCTGTGTATGGATGAGGGAGATGGAGATATATAAAGGGATGAGTACTCGATAACTATACCACTGGATATCTTGACAAGTAGCAATCCCATAAGTGAGACGAAAGTCTTCATATAAAAATCAAAAAATGCAATACGTGACCAAACTTCATTTTTAGAGTTTCTAATTCTTGAACATTTACCATATGTAACCCTCATTGTGCACTGCATCACAACAAACATAGGCATTCGATCGCCACTTCTATTTGCTTGTCGTCGTTGCCTGCCCAGGCATTTAAAATTCAGGGACACTGACGGAATACGCAGTAAATACTGACACTATAGACTACCGCAAATACTGATCATGTTGCATTCGGTTTTTATAGGAATTAAAGATACAGTTTTATCTTGTCAAACTTATTTTATTGACTGGACTCTAACAACTTACACGTTCCGTGACGAAAACTTAGAATCAAGTGCTATTCACGAAACGACTGTCATGCAAGTTTCTAAACTTTATGTTTTGTGAATTTCCCGCCAAAACTTTTGTTGTGGATTGTGTATCTAGGAAGTGATTTCTTTTTGAGAAATATCTTTCTGCACTTTTAGTTTAATAGGAAATATTAAACAGCTAACAATATAAGATGGAAAACGTTGCTCATGATATTGACAACCATTTCCGTATGCTACAAAAAGAGTACTTGGACTTCTTGGATGATCAGGTCTGTATGATGTATTAATTTGCATGATATACCATCTTATTTGTAATATGTTACTGGCATGTGTATGCTCATCTTTGCGTTGTGATATCATTAGGAAGACCAAGGAAAATATGCAAACTTGATAAAGAACATGATAGCAGACAAAAGTCTGCGTTTGGTGGTGAATATAAATGACCTAAGAAGAAAAAATCCATCCAGAGCACAGGCTCTCCTAACAAACGCTTTCGAAGAACAGAAAGCATTCCAAGCAGCTTTGAAGGAATGTGTAATCAACTCTACTAGTGAATTTATTAAAGATCAAGAGGAATATTTCATAGCATTCGAAGGCAGTTTTGGAAAAAACCATGTTACACCTAGAACGCTCACATCAAAGTACCTGGGGAATCTAATATGTGTGGAAGGGATTGTTACAAAGTGTATGTAGTCTATTGAACATTTTATATGCTTTATTGTTGAACGTATATACCTATATGGTGATACAGATAGTCTTTTTTTTACAGTTTATATTATTTACTGGATTTTAATTTTGTAAATCAATAATCTATAATATCTTCACTAATATGTAGACTGCTTTTTTTAAGGTTTTGATCATATGGTTATTTATTTTCCTAGGTTCATTGGTACATCCCAAAATTGTCCGCAGTGTCCACTATTGCCCCACTACCAATAAAGTTATTGAAAGGAAATACACAGATTTGACATCATTTGATGCCTTTCCGTCAGCTGCTGTATATCCTACTAAGGTTAATATTAATATTTCTTTTTTTTAATTATATTTTGTACATATTTTAAAATTTCTAATGGCTATGACTTGCCCCAACATATCTATATTTGCCATTTATCTTAGGATGATGATGGCAACCCCTTAGAAACAGAATTCGGGCTATCTACCTACAAAGACCATCAGACAATTTCTATTCAAGAGATGCCTGAGAAGGCACCAGCAGGTCAGTTGCCACGTTCTGTGGACATCATTTGCGACAATGATTTAGTTGATGTCTGCAAGCCCGGTGACAGAATCCAGGTTGTTGGCAACTTTAGGTGTCTACCTAGCAAACAGGCCAATTATACCAATGCTGTTTTCAGGTGAGTATCTCTGCACTCATTAATTGATTTTTCAATAAGAATAAATGTGAATAAATTTACATTTGATAACAAATTTCAAGTACCACCCTGTCAGGTGGTGTTGGATGGAAACATTCGGGAAAACAATCTGCACAGCAAGCCTTAGCACATCTTGATGATACCATAAATAATATATCTGTTATTGGTAAAGGACTGTAATTTTTCGTGTTTTCAAGTCCGCTTTGTAAACAACCAGCTTGGTTTTCCCATGCAATGGCTTTTTACCTGATCTTTCATGAGAAAAAACCCAGTTGATGTGGATTTTTTTTTAAAACCTATTTCAGTCTGTTGTCTGTGTAAGAAAGCTTGCTTATTTTTTCATAACTTAAGGAGTCCCAATTTTAAGAAAACATCTTATATTACTAGATATGTATGCATACTATTTCTTTTGTTACAGAACAATAGTGATAGCAAATAATATAACTCAGTTAAGTAAAGAAACACAAACAGCTATTTCAAAAGAAGATGTCGCCAATTGCAAGAGACTAGCCAAAAATAATAAGAATATATTTAATTTACTAGCAAAATCTTTGGCCCCATCCATACATGGACATGAGTATATCAAAAGGGTAAGGAATCTTCAACATATATAAATGTTTTGGTAGCTTCCATATTAACCAGAACTTATGGGCGCCAGCAGGAGGCCGATCATCGGCAAGAGATAACTTTTTGTGAAAGTGTATCTGCCGCCTTAACTTTGAAGAGTGGGGGGGGGAGCAACTCCTAAAAATCCTCAAAATTGTACAAAAATTATACTAAATATGCAAATTTTAAGTTTCAACCAGATTCCCATAGGGGCCGTGGACCCGTGCTCGCCCTGTGATCGTCCATGCTTGTATGACGTGTATCTTGTCAAGCATTTGCAATGATTTGCTAGGTACTAAGTATTGAAAGGTTGTATTTTCAGGCTATCCTTTGTCTCCTTCTTGGAGGAGTAGAAAAAGTACTACCAAACGGTACGAGACTCAGAGGCGACATCAACATATTGTTGATAGGAGATCCTAGTGTTGCAAAATCCCAACTTTTGCGATACGTATTGCAGACGGCGCCCAGAGCGATTCCGACTACTGGTAGAGGATCTTCAGGCGTTGGTTTGACAGCTGCTGTCACCACAGATCAGGAAACAGGTAACCATTCAACAAATAACATTTTCAGGACACTGTCGAGTATAATGGCTGTTGGCTTTTTAGCATCTTCAAAATATCTGGGCCCAGTATTTCACTGTGTGATTTCCAATTTTTTTTTATTTGGCAAATGCTACAATGACAATTTTGTATAATTATTTGTGTACACGTTTTTTTAATCAATTTTCTGTCTGTTAAAATCGCATTCACTATGCATTTTGGGTATTCATGAATCGCTTTTTTAATTTCACCTTAAACATTTAAAAATTTGAATACTTTTTATCAATTTTTTAAATCCAAATACTCCTTTTTGAAACACAGATTTGCTAGTTATGCTTTTATTACAATCTTCTAGATGAAAATCTATACTGCATCTAGTTTCATAGTTATGATAATGACTATTCAATTTTGTAAAGTTTTTTAAATGTGGTGGTAATAAATGATTTTTTGATTTGAATATGAAAATGAGAACTGAATAACATAAAATTCTTTACATTTAGTCACTAGCTCTTCCAACATAGACTTAATCGTTAAGCTTTTATTTAAAATGATACACATAGCTTTATTTTGTAGAATTCGTTATTTTGACAATATGGTATCATTTGCTGTAAAAAAATGTTTCTTGACATAGTGAGCTGTCCCTTATATTTTTGATTATAAATAGAAATATGTTCACCCAGAAGGACGAAAAAGCGACTTGAGAGCTCAAGATTAAGAGCAGATAGAGACACAGTATATTTTTTTTTCTAGGCGAGAGAAGATTAGAGGCCGGTGCTATGGTACTAGCTGACCGAGGCGTCGTGTGCATTGATGAATTCGACAAAATGAGTGATATTGACAGAACTGCCATTCACGAGGTGATGGAACAAGGTCGTGTCACTATCGCTAAGGCCGGTATACACGCCAGCCTGAATGCTAGGTGTTCTGTTTTGGCAGCTGCCAATCCCGTCTATGGAAAGGTAAAAAGCAAAGAACAAACCCCGTTCCTAATGAATCGCGGAAAAACGTACAATGTCATATAAATAATCATTTTGGTATACCGAAAAAACGAGTGAGTTAACAAACATCAGTCAATAATAGTCTCAGTACAAATTTAGCGATTTAAGTGATTCATTTTTTTTTCAGTACGACCAGTACAAAACACCCATGGAAAATATTGGTCTGCAAGATTCCCTTCTGTCACGTTTCGATTGCCTGTTTGTTATGCTAGATTCCATTGATGAAGATCAAGATTTGAAAATCTCCGACCATGTTGTAAGGATGCATAGATACAGGTATTACTTTCGTTTTCCAGTGTATTTTCCCAGAAATTTAAAATGATGTCATTCAAAAAGCAAATAACAGCATTTCATTATGTTTATTAAATGTTGGTGGAAATAGTGTCACACCCTACTGTTTGTTTTGATACATCACAGCTT